TATAACTTCCTATAAACATTTATAAATAGAAAAAATTATAGAAAATAATTTAATTAATAATTATAGAGAAAATAACATTCAGATTTTTTTGTACTTTTCGTCTTCTTTTTCTTGGTTCATATTTTATGTTTATAACTTATTTTTATTTTGTTAGTATTCTTTTATTCTCTCATTGATCAAATACATATTTAATTCTTCTCTCACGTCTTTATCTATGTATATGACTATTGATCCTTGGAATGTATTTTACTCTTCTTAGAAATCTCATTTCGCTAGCTTGGTTTTCAAAGTTACCCCTTTGCACCTTGTCGATTTCATATAACAAGGTAGGTGTACCTATTGTTTTGTAAAGTTTAATCATTGTATCGTTTCTTGTCTTGTTTTTCCATGTTCTATAAATTGTTCCACACATACTGAAAACTGTCAATTTGGTGATCAATATGTTAATCTTTGTCGAAACATGTTTAACACCTTAGTAATTGAAATGACTCAGTTGTTCTAGAGGACGATCGTCAATTTTGTTTTTTTTTTGTTTTAATAGGATATTTGGAGATAGCTCTTTGTAGCTCATTTTTAGAATTTTGGATGATCAGCCAATCATTGGCAAAGATACTGTACTTCACTCAGCAGATTTAAATTTGTACCATTTAGATTTAGAGCTCCCTCCAATCACTCTTCATCATCTTGCAGCCATTTATGTCCACTGCTGGACATAGGTTCTCCCATTTTTCGCCACTCTTCACGGTTCTGTGCGTATTGCTGTCATTTCTTGGATATTCATTTAATGTCGTCCATCCAGCGTGTTGGTGGTCGTCCTTTGCTGCGTTTGTCTTCTCTTGGGCGCCAGTCAATTAGATTTCTGGTCCATCTTGAGTATTTTAGTCTCGCTATGTGACCTGCAGAATTCCATTTCAGCTTAGCTATACGTTCGAAGACATCAGTGATACCTGTTCTTTTCCTTAGTTCTTGGTTCCTTCTTTGGTATTTTTTGTCACGTTGAGAATCGATCTTTAGATGTGCCTTTGTGCCACTCGCAGTTTTACTGCTGTTGTTTTTGTGAGAGTGAGAGTTTCTGCTCCGTATGTTATAATAGGAAGAACGCATTGGTTAAATGTTTTCCGTTTCATAGCTATTGGGGTGTTGCTCTTAAAGATGTCCCTTTAGCGAATCATACGCCGCCAAAGCAAGTGTTATTCGTCGTTAAAATTCGCAGTTCGGAATATCCTTGCTTATTCTGATTTCATGACCGAAATATATGTACTTGTCTGTAAATTCTACCACTTGATTTTGAATAGTTAGGTGTTCGCTGGGAACCAAATTTGTCATAAATTTGGTCTTACGGATGTTCATTTTTAGGCCCATTGTTGAAGATACGTCTTCTAGTTTTTGTGGCATTTGTTGTGTTTCAAGCAGATCTTCGGTAATAAGTAGTATATCGTCGGCAAAACGCAGATTTTCCTGTCTATTTTTATTCCTCTATTTTCCCACTTTAGCATTTTAAAGGCGTATTCAAGGATCGTTATAAATAATTTTATGTCCCATACTTTATATTCGCTTTATATAAATTTCTATGGCGGTATCATGTAGTTCCCTCTTAATCCCTCTAAATCTACCTTTCTGGTTAGATTGATAATTTTTGACTTCTAAGATTTTATGTTGAGCCCTACGTTTGAAGTCCATTCCGTAACAACAGCCAGAGCCTGTTGCATTCTATCTCCAATTGTCTCATTAAATTTCTCGTTGATGTATGTCTCCTATTGCTGAGTCTAGATATCAACCAATCCATAACCAGATTTCACAAGAGAGAAAATAATTCCACTGTGGGTAGCTTATTACCTGTGCTGACACTGTATCTCTTAGTATTGTTGCCTATCCTACACTGCACTTCAGCAGTTTATCCACCTGCAGTTTGTTTCGTCTATCTCTTTCAGCCGAATCGCCCTTGTGAGTGCTTCGTGCTCCTCTATATTGAGAAATACATCAAACATCGCCTCTTGGTCTTTTTGTTTCTTTATTCTAAAAGTCGTTTGTAATTCTGTCCACCCAGCTTATTATAAGCATTCTTCTGTAAGACCATATTTTGAGAGCCACTGAATTGGTGATGTGTTTCTTTAGACTTTACTTCATACAGCAGCACAGAGAACATCTTCTTCTTTGAGTATCGTACTCAAATTAGGCGTAGGTAGTTTCCATGACTATTTGCCGATATTGTTTTCGATCTTGCGCGGCATATAACAATTAATCTGCTGATAAACCAGTCAATTGATGGCGGTCTCGGAGCCATGAATATTTCTTCCTACCAATTCCTCTTTTTTCTTTGATCTTTCCGTCGAGTATTACCTGTAGTATCTAGTATCTGCTTCCTCTCATTATATGCCCCAGATATTCAATTTGTCTCTTTTTTATTATCTTTGCCAAGTCACTTTCGCCTTGACCTATTCTGTTTTCGACTTCTATGTTTGAGATGCGTTGAACCCATGATATGAGTATTCTACGATATGACCACATCTCAGCGAATATATAACACCTCAAAATTCTAACTCCTAATTTAGTCGACAAATCATGCTGGTCCGATTTCTTCGATATTGATCCTCCTGTTTTCGACTTCTTTTAGTTATTCTCCGTTGATCATTCGGCTGGCTTGTCATAATTGTGATTTAGTGATCACTATAAATTCAGTTTTTTTCATATTCAGACACCTTTCTTGACTGTGTTTCATAACTAGATTTACTATTTTCTGTAGATCTTCACCACATTCTGCTCAATACCGTATCATCAGCGTATATTAAATTTTTGATAGGTTGTTCGTTCACTTGTATGCCTTTTTTTCTCCGTCTGGCGCTTTTTAAACAATTTCTTCGTGATATATGTTGAATCGGATAGGTGATATTATGCATCATCTCTGACACCTCTCCTTATTTCGATTTCATCCGAACGCTATATTTCCTCCTTCATTACGACTGCTTGATTACAGTCAGTTCGATAATAATTCTAATGCCCTTCTTATTCAAATTCTTTCGTTAGAGTAGTTATATTAGGTGGTTGTGTTTGATTTTGTTAAATGCTTTTTTTTAGTCTAAAAGACAGACATACATTGGTTGGTTATATCCATGCACCTTTGGACCAACAAATTCATGGGAAGCAAGGCTTATTTTCTAATAATAAATATAATTAATTTGCTATGAATAAAGCATACATATGCGTGCGAGTACATACACCTGCATAATATTCACATTTGAGTAAATGACAAATAATAGAGATTATTTAGTACTTAAAAGCCAATAAAATTTACTAACAGTTCCATTTTCTGTCCACATTATACTCTTCCTTTGCGATTTAATTCACCAGTAGTGCGTTTTAAAAAGTCAACATTCCTTGGTTGGTTGGGCGCATATTACACGTTTATATAAACTTAAGTATATGTTGTTTCTGACAGAAATTTAATGACTTTAATATCGTAAATACACATTCGGTGTTAATTACGGATACATAACCAGGAGCAAATATTCAGATTAGCATAGTAGCATATTAGACTTTTTTATTTATGTCTAGTGTACTTAGAACTACATTATTACACCCAGTCACTAATAATGAGAAGCAATTTAATGAAAACTGTATAACTATACATTACACACTTTGCTTTTTTTGAATCCAAAACTAATCCATTAAAAGCGATTTGATAACTTGATTTTCTTTAATTACACAGGCCAACGTGATATTTGCTGTTTTGATATATTCTTATACAATGTGATAAGAAGTGTCCTTAGCTAATACGGGTACGTTGATTCTGATGTGAATTTGGTTTGAACACGCGACGTCAAGATTTCTCACAAAATTAAAAAAACGTGAGATATTTCGTCCTAAAGCAAAGAAGTTCTTAAAACTGATATTTTGTAAATTGCATTAAAATTATTTCTCTAAAATACTTGTAAAATATTTTAGTATACAATATTTAATATGGTTATTTCATTGCAATGGAAAACTGCAAATGCTGTCAACTTGACGTTTAGTATGTGTTTAGTGCGTCATACTGTCATAAAGAAAGTATAAACACATCCTGACATATTTTGTTACATGTGTAGTTATTAAACAATAGCAAAACATCAACGAAACAACAGAATTTATCAAGAAATCTTATCAGGATTATTTCGGCGTAAAGCTTAGTGACCAGTCCAAACCTTGCCTCCACACACAGTGTGCTTTTAGTGTGTCGAGTTACTTAGAAAATGGACAAAAAACGTAGCCAAAAGACCATGGAGACGACTGTTAGTTTTGGTCCTACAATGTCAAGGATTTCCTGATTTACCATGAGCTAGATGACCTGTACCTGATGGACCAGGTATCCCCATTCCTCCACCTTTTCTTCTCACTACCCAACAGAAATCAGATGAAAGCTTAAATGAAAAACCGATGAAGAATTCCTTGAGAGACTTGGGCTTATCGAAGAATGCTGCACAAATCTTAGGATCATGACTAATGATGGCAGTATAGGCATCGTGAAAAAGAGTTCGCAGAATATTTCTCTAAAGAGGATTTACTGGTTTATTGTAATAATATTCCTGAAGAGGTCATGAATCTGGGAGCTGACAATTACGATACCACATCATGGTCGTTATTTATTAATTCTTCTAAGAGAAGTTTAAATGGTCTCTTGTTGAACAATGGTAATACTTATGCCTCAGTACCTGTATCTTACTTAGTGTATGTCAAAGAAACCTATAAGAATCTTGAGCAGTTATAATGTATCTCAAATATTGTTGACAGATCTATGGAGACCTCAAAATAATATCCATGCTTTTAATTCATCATCTGGATTCACAAAGTATCCCTGTTTTTTTCCCGACATTAATCGTGAAGACTTTCATTTCTTTATAAGAATATATTCATTATTTAAGTTACATAGTTAGTTACGTAGTTACGTAGTTACATACGTAGTTACATACATTATTCAAGTACCATACTAAGGTTACTAAAACGTGTTTTGTTTTTATTACAGGAAAATGATGTGTCTAAATGACTCCAAAACCCAAACATCATACGACTCTGATCGAGACAGTATTAGCAGCGGTGAAGAATTACCAATATGGGTGCGAGGTGAACAAAGATGGGTATCAGGATTAACAGAAGAAACAACGTGCCAAGATGTTATCCAAGTTTTACTACAAGATGAAGACAGAAGGGTAAGTCACAATAGTATAATTAGGAGAGCAGTATCATGTTGTTATTTATTATTTTGTATTTTTTGAAACTGTTGTTTTAATTATAAACATATTTTGCTTCAACTTGTTTATTACTCGAGCACTAACAGGAATAAATTATCAAAGCTTCAATTGTTAATTTTTTCTTAACTAGCCTATTATATGGAACAAATATGAAACCGAAAGAAAAATAGTGTCTAATAGACTCATTGGGGAATAGGTTTCCGTTATAACCTTGATGAATATGTGAGAAACAGAAATACGCGCTTGACGAAAGTAGGCGATAGGGTTTGGAGAGAATTTCTTTCAAAGGCCAGGATCTATATAGCAGGGAATACAGCCAGGGTGAAGGTTTTTTTAAGCCCTTCTCTCTATTCTGATTGCCGAATATAGGCCTCTCCTAATTCTTGCCATTCATCTCTGTTGTTTGTAAGACTCTACATTGGCCCTGCAGTTCTTTTAATATCGTCGCTCCAGCGCATTTTCGGTCTTCCTTGTGGTCTTTTGGCTTCATGTAGCCGTCAATTCCCGACTTCTTTATTCCATCGGCCATCCTTAAGACGTTTGTTATGTCCAGCCCATTTCCATTTCAGTTTAGCCGACTGTTCTACAGCACCTTTGAGTTTTGTTTTATTACGAATGTCTTCATTGGTTTAATGGTATTTGAGTGAGATACACAGCACCTGTCGTTCCATAGCTCTTCGGGGTTTTTTTTTCCTTCTTCATGTTTATTTTAGTGAATATACAGGTTTGAGCTCCATATGTAAGTACAGGTAGGATACAGGAATTAAACAATTTGGTTCGCAGTCTTTGAGGTATATTTTTATTTTTAAGTACGTATGAGAGCCTTCCGAATGCTGCCCATCCAATTTTTACACGTCTGCTTATTTCGATAGTCTGACTTTCTTTGCTTCTTCTTCTTCAAGTGCCCTGTCTGTTGCGAACGTTGTCTATTAACATGGCAATTCTGATCTTGTTTTGCGGCGCTTCTGAATAGTTCGACCGATGTGAGCCCGAACCACTTCCGCAGATTTTGGAGTAACGAGTGTCTTCTGCTGCCTGGTCCTCGCTTACTGTCTATTTCTTTACTTACCTTTACATTTTGACTCAGATATGTATATTCATCTACGTTTCTATTTCTGTCCCTTGGATGTTTATCATAGATTTGTCATCTTTTTTGACATTAGTTTAGTTTTACTGTAATTCATCTTCAGTCCTTTTTTAAGAGATTCTGTGTGTAGCTCCACAATCATCGTATTCAGTGCATTAATAGCTATTCCCTTATTTTACCAGTCTATTGACTTAAAGATATCTTCTAGGGCAGCTGTAAATAATTTTGGAGATATTGTGTCTCCTTGTCTTACCCCTCGGTTGATTTTTACTGGTCTTGTTTAGATTCCATTACCCAACGTCACTAACATTTCAGCTTGTTCGTAAATATTATGTATTAATATTCTGTACCTGGAGTCGATCCGCTTGTTGACTATTGGTTCTTCTGGAGTGATGATGATGATGATGATGAATATGAAACCGTTTAATCCTGATACGGTAAAAAACTTTACCAGTTTGTGATATGGTAATAATCAAAACTAAATTCAACCTTTACGCTCAGGCTACTAAAAATTAACTTTATTAAGAAAATTGACTTTATTAATTGCTCCCCTTAATCTCTAAGGGTAGTATTCTCTTAGGGAAATTACTTCTTTCTTCAGAGATTCAAAAAAATTAATACTATTGTTAATCAAGCAATAAAACACTGAAAACTTTTGTTTTCAACACTTCCACAAATTTTTATTGTAAATAATGATCGCTATAGCTGTTATGGCAGCGTGCCTTTCTCAAGTGAGCTATTTTTGTTATATGTCTAACATTTTATAGTCTTTAACTAAATAATTTGAGGAGGAGAGAACTATTTGTCGTAAGTTTGTTATTCAGAATTATATCTGTATTTTTTATTTTGTTAATTTACATGGATTCTAATAATGATAGCTTAGCGCCTTTATTTTGAATGTGAAGAATTTAAAATTGGTTATTAACGAATGATTATGATCTAGAAGGTGAAGTGCGTAAGTAGAATCTGTTTTTCTATTATTGAAAGCTCTTTTGTGTTCTGCCATTCGTTTGTTAAAGATTATACCTGTTTGACCGATGTAAGTTTTTGGGCAGTCGCCACATGTAAGTTTATATACCCCACTGTGTAGGTGCTTTTACTTTTGGCTTTTGTGCACTAGCTCACTTGAGAAAGCCACTCTGTCAAAACAACTGTAGGGATAATTATTTATAATAAAAATTTGTGGAGCTTACATTAAGTAACGGTCGAATCCATTACAGACTTTTGTTAATGTGTATTATTATGTCAAAGATTTTATTGTGTTTTTTTTTGTATCTTGGTAAAGTATTTTTTCACTGTCAAAAAAAATAAACTTTTGTTTATTGTTTGCCAGTATTTGTTAAATAAATTAATAAAAATATGAGGCGGGCGTAATATGAAAAACATTCTTTTCAAGGGGGCGGCACATTAGGTCTTTGCACGCGGGCGTCCAGCTCTCTAGGATCTGCTCTAATCAGCTTATAACCTTTATAAGCTATAACAATTAGTGCTTAAACAATAATAAAAAAAGAAATGTGATGAAATGTAAAGAAATGTGAATCTCAATTTTTATTTTGCTCTAAACAAATTTACAACATTTATTAAAGAATTTTTTTTTAATATATAAGCATATAATTCATATAAATTTCATTGATTATAATTTCCTATTACGAAGATGTATGTTAATTGCGATAGATTTTACAGTTATTTACTTAAAACGAAATGTAACTAATGAGCTCTTTCCAAAATGTTTTAAAACCGTAATAATAGCTTAGAATCCATAATTCTTAATATTATGCACTTAACAACTAAAACCCATATTTTACAGTTATTAAAGATAACAAGATATCATACCAATTTAAATCATTTGGAGGCTTTTAAAAAAATATTAGATCAGGAGCCGGATCTTATTTGACTAAAATCTTTTATAATTAAAAAAGAAACTACTTATTTCTGGGCTTGGGCACACAATTTCTTTTAGTGGAATACTACATTACTGTAACATGAGCAGAACTATTCTAGAGAATGCAGCAAAGACTTATGGATGGAATAATAATAAAAATAGTATACACATAAATAATATATTTCTTCTCTTTAATAACAATAACCCTATATCGTTTACCGTTGAAAATATGTATACACGTTTTTCACACGTATTTTCATTTCACGTATTTCCCAATCCAGCAAAATAGGCATTGTTTCCCAAATTTGACCAAATTGGCCCACTATTTTGGTGTTTAATATTACTTCTCATTGCTATATTCCATATTGATTATGTTAGTATCTAGTTTTAGGATTTCTTTTAGGCTCTTTCTCACCTTTGACCCTTTATCATTGCTATACGCTTCGTAATATTTGTCCACGTTTCTTGCTTATATTATAATATATGTCATTTTGTATCTTAATACAATTTAACTTGGATCGTTACATTTGGTAATCCAAATTTGTACATGGTAATCCATGAGGACATATATGGGGCTGAAACGTGGACCTTATCTCAAAGACTGATTGAAGACTTCTTGGTATTTTTGAGAGAAAAATTCTGAGAGAAGGCCAAGATCCACAACTGAATGTAGGACCACTTATTATTATTATTAATACATGAGGTTATTGAACTATTCCCAGGGTTAATAGACAAAAAAAGAAATAATTAACAAATAAATAAAAAAGGAACTGCTTGAACAAGGAATAAAAAATTTAATTGTAGGTATAGAGTGCTAAAAATGAAAAAGATATTCGTTGTATCGTAAAAGATATTCTACCTTTTTACCGATACAAATGAATACAACGGATGCACGCAAAAAGCAGGCGGAATATAAGATATCATAAAACATAATTTCGTAGAAAAGAATGTGATGATATCGAAAACTATGCTATAAGAAATTAAAAGAGATCCCTGACAATAAACAAAAAAAATCATCTCAAATATAAAAGACAAAAAGGAACAACGACTACGACCAATTATTAAACAATAATTAAAATAATGAAAAAACTACATTTCTAACTTATTTAAAGATTACAACGATTGTCTGAACTGGTATAATTATTATTATAATTAATAACAGAAGTTGAAGTTGAGGTGAGTGTTGAAATACTATTGGTGTTGAAAGTTATCGGACAAAAATGAAATTAGGGTACTGTACGTTCTTTTACTAGAATTTGATGACATGGGGATATAAGCAACTGATTAGCTTAAATCCTCACAATCGTTTTGTCACAATACCAAAAATATACAGTGCATCGGTTTGCAGTGTTTATCAAACAATGAGTCTGATGTGTCACGTTTTTAAAGATATTCCTGCGAGTAGTACATACGTACGATGGTGCCACTATCTCAAGCGAAATCTACTATCATATAAAACATTCTCGTAGATGACCAAAGTCAATGGGCCAAATCGGACTCATAGTTTTGTTTCGACCGCGTGTGAAAGCGGGCGTGTCCGCAGATTTTAGAAAAATGGAAAAAGAGTAATATCGGTCTGTAATTCGATTCTTGCTTTTCAGGAGAAATCACACAGCGAAATCAAAGAGTGCTTGGATGCTGTGTATGGTGACTCTTCTGCTTCGATGGCTACCCTCAAAAATTGGTTTAACCAGTTTCAATGTGGTGGTACGCCGGTTTTTGATGAGCCACGCTCAATTGTCCCTAAATCGGCTACCACAGAGGATAACGAGACAAAACTCCACGATCTCATATTGACAGACTGCCAGCTAAAGGTACGCGAGATAATAGCTGAGACAGTAGGCATCTCAAAATACCGAGTCGAGCTGTCGGCGCGAGGATTGCTGCGTTTGCTTACTCCGAACAACAAGCTTAACCGTAAGACCTTTTCACAGCAGTGTTTGACGCTATTTAAGCGTATTTCGAAAGAGTTTTTACGTCGTTTTGCAA